CTGGAGGATGGGAGTTCTAGTCCCGCCTTAGGCACGAAAGCCAGCTGAGTGACTTTGGGCCAATCCCCAGGAGAATGGGAGTTCTAGTCCCGCCTTAGGCACGAAAGCCAGCTGGATGACTTTGGGCCAATCACCTGGAGGATGGGAGTTCTAGTCCCGCCTTAGGCACGAAAGCCAGCTGGGTGACTTTGGGCCAATCACCTGGAGGATGGGAGTTCTAGTCCCGCCTTAGGCACGAAAGCCACCTGGGTGACTGGGCCAATCTCTAGGAGAATGGGAGTTGTAGTCCTTATTGTGATCCGACGTCACCTTGTCCTGTTTAAATCTGGAAGGTAGAAAGTTTGTTTTATCAGATTAAAAAATAAATAATAAATTTTTGTGGGTGGGGGCACCTGGAGGTATCTTAGTGGGCTGAGTTGCCCCTTTTCCCCCCGGCCCCCCAAGGGGGGGGGGGGGGGGTTTCCCTTTGAGAGAGAGAGGTGGGGCGGGTGGTCTGACCCTCCGTGGCTTCCCCCTTGTGTCTCCCAGTCGACCCTCCGCCCGATGCACCCCCAGGCCCTTCATCCGAACCAGGGACTCCTCCAGGCCTCGCAGCTCCCCGTCCAGATGCAAACCGCCGCCAAGGTAAGCCCAAGGGGGGGGGGGAGGTTGGCACAGCTGGCGCCCACGCCCCGTGTTCCCCTTTCGAATGGCGAGGGGAGGGGGGGGCACGATTGCAATGTCCGGTCCTTTCCTTTCCTCATCCTGCTGGCTGGCGGTGGTGAATTATTTTTTACTTTCCAAGTCTGTGGAGATTCTTCCTCTCTCTCTCTTTTTTTTTTTTCTTCCCTTTAAATAAATTTTATCGAATAAACATTACAAACGATGGAACCCCATGCGACTTTCGGGCCGTACAAGCTGTACTATAGAGATACACATAGCAGTTCGTTTTCCTTTTCTCTTAATGTTATCAGCATAGCGCTAGTTGCAGATTATTTCCACTAATCTGCTTTAATCTACCGTTATATTTACCAACATCCATATAATCTCGTATCTGTCCATTCTCTTCCATTCTGTCCAAAACTTTTAACTTTCATTCCTATCACGCGTGAACCTTTCCTTTCTTTTTCCTGGACTCTTTTTCCGGGACGTGTTTCCTCCAGGCTGCCTCACATTCTGTCTCACCCTTCCATCTTCGATTTCTAAAGTTAAGTCTGTCCATCTGTCTGCAGAGATTCTTAAATCATCCAAGTCTTTGGGTCGTCCCAAAGGTACTTTTTTTGTTCAGGAGACAACTGGACTTTCTGGGTTTGGTTTGGTTGTGTTTCTTTTTCGTTTCTTTTTCTGTTTTTCTTTTGAAGACATTTTGCTTCTCGTGCGAGAAGCTCTGATACGATAGGAGGGAAGAGGACATACCCTGCTCAAAAAAATAAAGGGAACGCTTAAACAACACAATGTAACTCCGAGTCAATCGCACTTCTGTGAAATCAAACTGTCCACTTAGGTAGCAACACTGATTGACAATCCATGTCACCTGCTGTTGTGCAAATGGAATAGTCAACAGGTGGAAAGCAGAGGCAGGTAGCAAGACATCCCCAATAAAGGAGTGGTTCTGCAGGTGGTGACCACAGACCCCTTCTCAGTTCCTATGCTTTCTGGCTGATGGTTTGGTCACTCTTGAATGCTGGCGGTGCTTTCACTCTAGTGGTAGCATGAGACGGAGTCTACAACCCACACAAGTGGCTCAGGTAGTGCAGCTCATCCAGGAGGGCACATCAATGCGAGCTGTGGCAAGAAGGTTTGCTGTGTCTGTCAGGGTAGTGTCCAGAGCATGGAGGGGCTACCAGGAGACAGGCCAGTACATCAGGAGACGTGGAGGAGGCCGTAGGAGGGCAACAACCCACCATCAGGACCGCTACCTCCGCCTTTGTGCAAGGAGGGACAGGAGGAGCACTGCCAGAGCCCTGCAAAACGACCTCCAGCGGGCCACAAATGTGCATATGGCCGCTCAAACGGGCAGAAACAGATTCCATGAGGGCGGTATGAGGGCCCGACGTATAGGAACATGTATATAGGAACATATATACAGGCTATACAGAAGCCTGATGATGGCAGATGAGATTCTGCCAAAACGTCGCTACAACTTTAAAAGCACAACTATAATGACGTGGGAAAATACCCGAACAAAGCTGAATACCATACATGTAAGTACCCGCAAAAACTTAAGAAAACAAATATATATACACACACACACACACACACACACATGCATATACATACACATCTCCGCTTGTGCGCGCGTGTGTATGTATGTGTGTGTGTATACATACACATAGACACACACACTTCCCCATCATCCTTTTATTTATATATATGTATGTATGTATGTATTCTATAATGTAATATAATATAATATAATATAATATAATAATATTCCCCTTGCAGCTGTCTGCAAGGAATATAAATCTGGGTTAGAGTTGGAGAAGCTTCAAACGTCTTCAAAAAAAAACAAAACCAAGAAAATCCAATTTGCCTCCTGAAAAAAAAGAAGCTTTGGGAAAGAGAGAGAGAAAGAGAGAGAGAGGAAGGAAGGAAGGAAGGAAGGAAGGAAGGAAGGAAGGAAGGAAGGAAGGAAGGAA